TCCTCCCTTTTCTCTTTTGACCTTTAATCTTACCATTTTGAGCTCTAATTCCCAATCCTCCTTTTCCTCCATCCTCCCCAACCCATTCCCCTTCAACATCTCCATCATCCCCATCCATCTTTTCTCGTTCAATCCTCAATTCTGTTCGGGTACCGTCTTTATTTTCTGTGATTTGTCACAGATCTACGAGAAGGTGTGTAAAGTTTTGGCTCGGGTGTTCGCACCACCACCCTTGCTGGCCCTTGTTGGTCTTTCCCGATGTTCACCTTTATTTGTGTTGTTGCTCGTGGGTTCTATCTTCCTACGTGCTTCTTTGGTTTCGTGGTGGCGGTACTTGAGATGGTCCTTGGAGGATGTGGCGACTTTGTTCTTCACCACTTTTGGAGTTCTTGATGGTGTATCCAAGGTGCTCATGGGAGGCATCAGATCGTGAAGTTCGTTTTGCAGTTTATGGTGATGGCGACAGCGGTTGCAGCTGCAGGAATATTAGTCTTTTTAGGTTCTCTTGTATTGTTGTTTTTCGTGGGCTGGGCTCCAAAGCTTGCCTTGTGGCTTTGTCTTTTGTGTGTTTGTGACCTTTTCTTTTGTTGTAATTAACCTGTGTGTGAGCCTTTATTGTACTTGTTTTCTTTGGTAATGAATTTTGCCATTTGACCAAAATTTTTTTTTTTTAAAAATAAAGGTTTGGACCCAATTAAATAGTTCGGGCTGGCCAAGGCCGAACATCATATTTAAAACGTAAATTGTTGTTGGGTATATGTTTTATACAAGAATGAATAGTGGCGACCCAAATGATTTGAAAATGCTTTTGGCGGGACAAAGATAGGCACATTCATGTTCATTCAAAGTTCTTGCTCATTCAAAGTTCACAACAGGGGCGAAAATGACCTGTTTCACACTGAGGAAGTCTTGCTCATTCAAAGTTTTGCAGTGAAATGCACTTTTCCATAGCCAAATTTGTAAATTTGAGAAGATCAAAGCTCAAGTATCCAAGTGGAAGCTCATCCTATGAAAAACGCCACATTAACAATTTGGATGAAAGGGAATGAACTGAATTTGAAAGGTTTAATTATGAAGAAAGAAAGCTTCTATAAAAGGCAGCAGAGGAATTGGAGAAAATTACACTCAGCTCAAGCAAAAAAGAAACTTCTTAAAAGCTTTGTAGCCTACTTTTTAATTATTCCCTTAGTACTTTGGACATTCCCTTGTATTTATAGCTCCGCTACTTCCTTTGTAATATCAATTTCCTTTATAAAGCCTTTACTAGTGCATTGCCCACAACTGCAAGAATTTGCCCGACAGGAGAACAAATAGCTAGAGAGAAGGGCTGGGCCATTCCATCCAGTTTACCACGTAGATGCGTGCGTGGTTGCAAGTGTCCGGGTTGTAAAACTTGGGAAGACATGGCCATGTATTGGAAATTTTTTTGTCTAGTTTGTAATTAGAGAGTGGGATTTTCGTACGTACACATTTGGGGTTGGGGCAGCCTAACTTTCTCATCTTTAATAGGTATTACTTTTCTCTTTGCTTTGATATTTCTGATAAATTGAAATTTTAGTAAAGGAAATATTTTGTCTCATTTGTCGAGAAGGAGTGCTTTGAAATCTTTGTCGTATGAAGAGTAAGCGCACATGATTAGTATAAAAGTATGAACAAAGGAATATCATAGCATGTAATTGAGACCATGTTTTGTTAAATATGCTAAACTGAAACCTTGATCATTATTTTTTCCCCTTTTCATAAAAGTAATTTTAGATAGGTTGGCCGTGTCTCAATATGGTGATATATAGGGGATGGAAAAATATTACGTGAGCTAGATCACTTGTTTCCTATCAAGGTCTGTATAAATTAGAACTGAAGGGTAAGATGGTGGGGGTTGATGCACACTCTGGCTGTCTACCTCCAACGCAATTTGTCGAGAAGGAGAAAAAGCAAATTCATATATATCAATCCATATCCTCAAATCCCATGTTATTTCTAGCCCAACCAGGGATTTCAACCACGAAACAAACATTTAATTTCACTTAAGAGTTCAGCCCAGAAGCTGTATGAGACTTTAATTTACAACCAGAGAGCTCACCATGTAAAATTTCCCCTTTCTGAGGAAGAAACCATAAATCAGTACACCCAATACTTAAATACCATTGTCATTGCCACTTCTCAATCCACAATCATGAGATTGTGCAAAATAGAAGGAAGAGCCGAGTCGAATCAGAGATCAGGGTGATAAATTTGTATAAAACGATGAGATCGGGATGAAATTGGGAGATGTTACGACCTGTCCCTTATGTTACGTATTTTAATCTTGAAGGTGTGAAATGACCAAAATGTCCCTTGAAGGGTGCGTGTTGATTTTTGTAGACTTAACATTTGTGACACATGAGTTATATTTTAGTTTATTCTTATAGTACTCATTGTTGTGATCTCCCTCTCTTTTTTTTTTTTTTTTTTTCCCCGGAGCCACACACAACCATCACAGTTATTCCCAGCCAGTTTAACCCCATAGAAACCACCATCTTCGTCATCTCCAGCTCACCACGAGTTCAAAGACCCCGTTCTTGCTTGAAAACATGAAGCCCAGCCTCAAACTCTCGACTCCGACAATGCTCGCGAAATTTTGACAAGGTTCTCTTGTTCGAGGCGTAGATGTGAGCAGTTTCAGAGGCCCTAGAGGACAGTCCCAGCTAGAGGAAGACTTCATTAATGACCAGATTTAGTAGTCGTAACAGTAATCACATCCGGCGTCGAGGTACATTCCAGCAGCTCTGACATATTCTTATGGAGTATGGTATTTACTCAACTTATTCATAAGACTTGTATTTGGGTAATTATGCTTAGAATTCATTCTCATGCATGTAGTAGAGGTCTGAGACCTATTATGTGAGGCCCTTGGGGGATGTGTTGGCATAAATATGATAATTTGCAGGTGTTTTAATTTGGACTTATCCTTATATATTTTACGAACATTCTACCAAATTTTCGGTAGGTTTTAATAATTGATAATTTTCATTATGAATTCATGCATATCATTGTTTCGTCATCCATATGGATGATGGCTAGCACACTTCGGTTTTGGTGTCCACTGGACATCTAAGTCGGGATGTGTCACGACATGTGTAGTAGTTAGGGTTAGTGTAAAACATAAATAGGTTTAGATGTTCGATTCAGTCCACTGTCCTACCCTTCGAACTTTAAACCAAACCAATATAATTCGATTCGGTTTGGTCTCTAATTTTATTTGATTTTTTTTTCAGTTCGGTATGTTTTATGCTTCGGTTCAATTTTTTTATTTTTTTTTATTTTTCCAAAATACCCCCTACACTTATCAATCGATTGCATGAGATGATACCTTATCATTTCATACCACTGAAATCTATAGTTTTCCTTTATTATTCACACTAAGTTATCCGAACTCATGTCCCTTTTTTTTTCTTTTTTTTTTTGATCTGAAAAGATAAATGCGTTAATCCGATAGTAGGTAGGCCAACTCAAAGGAAGGCAAAATAACCCAAATACATTGTAAGGGGAGGGGGGGAGAGGGGCGGATGGAAACAGATACATAAAAGCCCATCCCAATTAAAAAAACTAAAACGGGAACCCAAATCCCTAAATTTCGACTGCAAAAAGTAGCGTCCGCTGCCATCACGGCCATAAAAGTCTTGTCAGCAGCTACCGAAGAAGCAACCTAGAGAAAACGACCAAGTGGTGAAAACGAACAAGACATTGCCACACAAAAGTACCAAACCTGCAACTAGAAGCACACCACATCCAGATTTCTTCACCAAAGACGCAGAACCAAAAGATAGTCACCAGACCCAAATCTCATTCCTAGCAAATATATACAAACACAATATCACATGGATATAAGGTGGGGCTAATGGAGTATGTAGAAATACCCTTACTTTGGCCGAAGCCGTAGTACACCTAGCCTCGATGGAAATCCGGCAAGCCGTTTTTTTTTTTTTTTTTTTTTTTTTTGGGGAGGGGGGGGAGGGGATAGTGAGGGAAATAAAGCTGGCAACCATATTCGGCCCAGGGTCTACAGATCAGAGAAAAGGATGGGTGGAGATGGTTTATGGGGAAGGGAGGCATAGGGGAAAAGTGAGGGGAGATGGAGTTTTGAGTTTGGAAAAGAACGGGCAGAGGAGAGGGAGGGGTGGAGAAGAGGGACATGAAGTCCAAAAGTGAGACAAACTCATGGGAAATTTTAAAGCAAAACTCAAGGAAACTGTGAAAAATCTCAGGAAAAAAATGGAAACCGAGAAAAATCTCAGGAGAAAAATGAATAAAAAAAAGAGAAAAGAGGATCAGGAGAAAGAAGGAAAGAGAAAAACAAAGAACTTGGACAAGGATAGCCACTGACACTGAAGCCAAAATCGGACCGGTGGCAAAAGAGTTTGCAAGGTTGAGAAACCAAAGAAAGAGAGAGTCTCACGCGATTTTTGTCTTTACTCATGTCCAATTTTGAATTTCCTTGCAAGGCACTTTGTTGGTTTATAATGCTTTCCAATTACGGCTAATATTGACTTGACTTTTCAAATGTTTGAAACTTGTCCTTACGCCGAGTTGACCCACCAACCAAATCGATTTCTTTTCGGAGGTTGGAAACTTGTCCTTAGGCAAACTTGAACCCACCAACCAAATTGATTTCTGCGTCCTTGAAACGGTGCTGCCAACTTGACTTGGTGACATTGTTGGGATGACGAGTCAACTTGATATCCTTTCCAACGCAAACTTCTTTGTTTCTTTGATAACTTTTGGCCTCTGTTGGACTATAAATTCTAGTGTAGCTTGTACGTCGGGGAGATTAAACCTAACTCCACAATGCTAAATAAATTATGATCTTCAGTGGTGGCTGTTGTTAGACAGGGCATCACACAAGAAGATTTATTTTTTTTCAAACAGAATTGATAAGAGACTTACACGTAGTATTTCATGCTTTTTTATAGAACGATTGTATTAGTAGATTAAATAGGTAGTTCTTACGGGAAAGAAATCAGTAGAGCTCAAATTCAAAACAATCTCACTTAATTGGATAATATTACAATACTTGTTTGGCACATTTTTTTTGTTGTTACAATGGCGGGAATGAAAATTGACATATTAGAAGCTAGCATGCCTGAATTAGCCATGTCTGTGTAACTCTGTTTATGAATATTTCTCAGCAATATCTTGGAGATGGAAGAACAACTCCACGGGTTTTGAGAGCATAACCATGTGATCAGAACCGTTTATCACCTTCACTTCATTTGGCGGATTATTTTTTATCATGTAATTTTGCACATCCAATACTATCGCATGGTCTTGTCCGGACACAATGAATACTCTAGGAACTGCTCTATATTTCTCTTCCGTGAGCTTTATTACATCGTAATTGTAGCGAGGAATAAATCTCACCAACGATAACGCTAGGGTTAAATCCTGCACATTATATAAATTACCAACCAATAGGGTTAAGAGAGCACATATAGGGTTCCTATCTATTGCAGCACACACCTTAAGTTTACGACTTACCTGTGGTGGTGAGAGCTGGTACAAGCTTGTCGCCATGACCTTAGGCCCAAAGAGAAAGGAGGTTGCAGGGTTGTTGGTCCCGTTATCATATCTGAATTGAGAGTCCAGATAATCCAATCTTTTCCTAATCTATAAATTTCCCAGAAATGTATTTGTTAGTTACCTTTATATATCTCATTCAGTAGGATTCGGATAACAACGAACAAGAGATCTCTAAAATAAGTTTATTGAAAGGATCTATTGTAGGGCCTAATTCCCAATATATTTCAACGATCAAATTGTCTATCTTTAAGGTCTTTTCTCAAAATTTATTTTAAAAAAAAATCACTCAAATCTAAAATTATATTTCAACGATCAAACTGTCTATCTTTCATTGAAGAATTTCATTCACTTATCTTCGTCACTTTAATTTGATTGACATCTTAATGGTTCTGATTTTATTTAATTTTTTAGAAGGATGATATATGAATTATGAAATAAAATATAGACGATTTGAATTATTGAAAAAAATATATATAATGGAGAACACAGAGTGTCTCTCATATAAGTTTCTTGAGGGAACCCTCAAGAGAGACAGATATAGTTATGCCATACTTATTCATCACATTTCCTGATTCACAAGATACAATAAACAAGGTATAGCATATAATCAATTTCAACTCATAGTAGTAAAGCACTACAAAGAAGACAAATAGTGCAACTCAATCTATGTGTGTATGAAAGTCATTACCTCTTGATTTATAGTTGAGAAATTGAGAGTAGGACCGGACATGACCCCCGTGACATATACTGCAGCAGCAATTTTACGAGGGAACCTCTCCATGAAAATAGATATGACGGCTCCACCGAAGCTGTGAGCCACAAGGATAACCTTTTCATTTGGTGGTAGAGACACCATGAGCTTTGTCAAGGGCTCGACGTATTCCGATAACGAAGGGAGTTGCTGTACCTGAATCGGGTTGATCCCGGATGCTCCCAAGTCTAGAGCTGTGACATTGTGACCTGAGTCCTTGAGGAGAGTTGCCACCTTATACCAGCTCCATGCTCCATGACAAGCTCCATGTATCAACACAAAATGTTTTGGACTTTGAGTTTGGTTGTGTATGTTGGAGGGTGGGGATGGGGCTGAGGTACTACCTTTTGCTAAGCAAATAAATAGAAGGAAAAACGCAAGGAGCTTCTCTGTCATGTTCTCCATTTTCTGTATCATTAATGCTCAATTTCCTTGATTTGGTTTGCATCTCTCGTCTTACTTTTATACGTAGAATTCGATCAGAGAACAAATAATTGACTCAAAAGTCAAAAATCTCGATTAAACAACTAGTAAATGACTCAAAAGTCAAAAGCATTAAGTTGAAAGTTTTCTTTTTTTTTTTTTGTGTCAAAGTTGAAATGTATTCCCAACTCCAATTTGCAAGAAGACTCTTTCAGGAATCAACTTTTCTCCCGAAACTACCCATCTACCTTCAGCCTTCCCTCCCCCTTCGTATCTGTTTCTCTTTGACCAGTTTGCCGACTTGCTTGCACATCGTCCATCGGCGATGACTGGCCTCAAGTTGCAATGTTCGGGATGACTTTTTCGAGGATGAGTTTCGAAGCCGGAGTTGTTGAAGAATGGGTTGTTGTTGGCCAATACCGGATCTGAAACCCATTTGGTGCGACATCTGACATTAGAACGACACTCCGGCATCTGGAATTGAAGCTGCGTGGTGGTGGATCTACTGCTATGGTGCTTATGGGGTATATTGCGGTGGCTGTGTGGTTGGAGAGAGAGAGATGAGAAGCAGATCGGTGGTTGGAGAGGGAGAGAGAGGCGGTGCAGGTTTCACAAAATGAAAATACAAATTTGGGGATGGCCTGGGAAGAATGAAAAAAGGAATGGTAGATGGAGAAAATGACAATAAATCGTATGAAAAAAATATTAAATCTTTCTTACCAGGAAAAACATCTTTTTCGGATATCTTTCACCAAATACATCAATTTGGATCCTTAAAATTTGATCAAACAATTAAAAACAGGAAACCTTTTAAGAGTTATAATAATTTTAACTATTAGCTCAAATTTTAAGAACCTGAATTGATGAAGTTTGTGGATTTGGTGGAAGTGATCTGAAGATGAACCCTTTCCTTCTCACAAAGCTTTAAAAAATATAAAAGAACTAAATTAGTAAATTATACTAAAAATACAAAATGATAAATCATTTGGATTAGGGGTATTTAATATTCCATTAATTTTTGTTTCGATTCATGTGTTTTAGTAAAAAACTTATATAGATAAATACGATATCTACATTGATTCTAAAAAAATTTAGTAAACAGCTTCAATATGATTTTGAATTCACCTCAATTCAATTTCTTGATTCTCCTCATTCTCATTACGGATTGGTAAACAAGACATAATATTATCTTCACTTAAATACTTGTGTAATTAATAAGTGTGAACGTTTTCTATTAAAAAAAACTTGAATATAATTTAAAGTAAAAGTAATATAAGTTGTGTTTTTTTTTTTTTTTTTTTATGCTATTAATCCTATAACATTCCTCGTACATGAACTCCACTGCATTGAATTATATGCAACGGAAATGAAATCAAAAAGCCCAATGGCTATGTCATGCTCAGCAAAACCTAAAGGGAGAAAGGGTAGCTTGGGACATAGGGTTTCAAACCTTACAATGGCTACGATGGACAAAATCCTTGGTATTGGTCAGCATAAGGGAGGTAGATTCTTTGCCCTCCTATTTTCCGTGCTCTTCTATTTTGTGTGGTCACGGTTAAATCACGTTAACATTTTATATTGTTTTTTTATAGAGATAATAAGACAAAAATGAATAGTAATATAAAATATTGACGTGATTTAACCGTGACCACACAAAACAGAAGGGCACATAAGGGCATGGGAAGTGGGAGGGCAGAGAATCTGCCTCCCAGCACAAGAACTTACAACAGTAAGTGATAAATTAACTCACAACAGTAAGTGATAAATGAACTCTTAGGTGGAATTTCTATTGTATTTCTTTTCTGCATATCTTATATTTCAAAAATTTTACAATTTGATGATTATAAAATGCTCCGAAACGGTATAAAAATTTTAAAATTAGGCAAGCAAAGAGAATTTATCACTAATAAGCCTGCCCTACATATCTCGGTAAGATAATGGGATCCTTGTGATTATATGACATGGGGTCCATGACCAAGGTCTAGTTAGTCATTCTAAATATTTCTGTTAACAAGACTGATATTTGCTCTCAATAGGAGTTTGCGATCGGTGGCAAGTAGCTGCATAAATAATTAGATCCACTGTTTCAAAACCGTTATTGTGAAGCCAAAACTAATCTCAAATATCTTGGACATAACGCATGGTCTTTTTCTTGAAAAAGACAAAATTGCCTCATTAAATGGGCGTGGTCCATAAACATTCTCACATGCAGTTCAACATCTGTGGAGGCTCGAGCAACTGATTACGACAATCACCAAGTTCCCCTGCTCGCGGCATAGAAAAGTTAAAGGCCTTAACCAAATCCTGTTTTTAATACATTCCCAATTGAAGATCAACTTAAACAAAGAATCCTGATCACTGTTAATCAAAGATGCTATAAGTATCTCTTAAATAATGTCTTGGAATAATTGTTTCCTCATCCATCCTACGGCTAACTCACTTTAGCCAATAAAAACCTTGCAACGTGTAAGGCAAAACGCTACACTTAGGCCAGCCAGCACCCTATAAATACCTCATTGCCACCAACTTTGGTAAAGCTTTTGCCACACATACAAGCCCTAAACACTCACTTTTTTTAGAGCTACTGACTTAAGCATCAGATATCCATTGACCAACTCCCTAACCTCTTGGACATGTGTGGCTTTGGCCTTGATCAAAGGTGTTGATTGTTTTATAGGTACAAATTCGTCAAGACTGAAGATTGTGGATTCTTACTGCCACAAATTTGTGCTTTAATTGAGAACTCAATTTAACGCTCAAAGAAGGCTCTCACATTTACTCTTCGAATTTCCTATTGCGTAGATTTTCCCACACGTTCCTACTCTTAGAATTTATTTTGTAAGTTCTTTAAATAGCCCTAGGAAAAAGATACAATGGTGGGAAGTTCCTAAACCACAACAAACAAAATGTCATACTTTCAAAGATTCAGACCGGATGGTGGAGATTAAGACGTGGTCTCATGCCATTAGAATACTTCTTAGTTAGCACGCAAGGACATAGTATATTCTAATATTCCTGATGATCAGATAATCATTTAGACAGGTATACCACATTCACCCGAATTGTTTCAATCCATAAAGTGAATGCCTAAAACCAGTTGAGAGAGTGCTCTGCAATCTGGAACTATTTCAATCAGTCCATGTAATTCTTTGGGAACTTACATATAAATATTCGAATAAATATCCCTATGGAGAAATATTAACGACATTCATAATGCTACTATCATAAGGCGTGCATTACATGGTATTATTTCATTCATTTCATTACATTCTTTTCCCACTTGTAACAGGTTTCCTTGGATGATATCATCGCTTTTTAGTTACGTTGTTTAAGTGAAACCTCATCCATTATAATCTCATTCAAATTCCATATTTTACCTAAACTAGTATACTGGACCAAGAACTTTAAGTCTCAGGATAATTCGGATTAATCTAATCAGATGGAAATTGATGAGACAGGGATCAAGTATGGATTCATTTTGTGTCATATTCTTCCTTTGCAATGTTCTTCATGAACATTGATGTTCTTATCTTCCCCCGATAAAGGGAAGACTACCTGATCGAAGTGACATCTGCAAAATGAGCGGTAAAGATATCGCTTGCAATGGCTCTAAACAGTTAGTTCAAAAGAGAATCATAATCGACAAAAAGATTGACATCCTTCGTTGAAAAACCATATTGCTACACTGTAGCAGCACAACTTGACACATAAGGTACACACCAAAAATGCCCTAAATACGAAACATCACATTCGTACCCAGCAATCAACTGTAACGCCAAAAATAGTTAGGTGACATTGGGCCTCAGTGGAGATGCATACAAGATTGCATAGCCCTAGGCAAAAGCTGAAAGCTTGGTGTGTTCACCAAGGTTCGGGTAGTTAATTTAATTGCGCTTTATGATCACTTCTGCGACGTTGTTTTTAAGTGAACATAGGGAATTTGATGTTCAATTTTAAACCCAAAAGACATGCAGTGCTTTATTGAAACATCTTCGATATAAACTCTCCAATATTATATAGGTTTCCAAACTTTATGAGATAATTAGGGTGGTGAACCCTTAAACTAAAATTGGCCACGAGGTTAGCAATAATGTGTGTGGATAAACATGTAACCAATGTGGCTATACATTAGCCAAACCATAACTATTTACATGGTTTGTATTTTGTTTGGATTAGCCATCAATCATTCCCTTGAATCCACTATGAAAAGAAGGTCATTTAGTATCTTTGCGAAAGATAATCTAGAAATCAAATTTCCTAAAGACGAACAAGCTTGGCAAAGTGTGCTTGTAGCACAAAATTCTGACTTCAGTTAAGGAGATGTGTCGTATAATATGTGGCATCATTATTCGACCTAAGTACCTCAAATGATCATGCTAAAGCAAGTAAACTGCTTAAATCACCCTCCAGGCCAGCTATATGTGGCGCATCTAGTTGGGATGCAACATATTTGCCCTAAAGCCCAACTTTTAGCTTCATAATTTTAGAGGTGGTGCAAAGATCTTCCACTCTATTTTTTTCAGTGGTTTCATTAATGATCATTGTTCTCTCGAGTATTGTTAAAACTCAGCGACGTTGTTCTGGGACAATGAGAATATAATGCCCCTTTTATCGTAGTTCAGTACCATTCATACAATGAAGAACTACATCAAGGCCCTTAATCAGGATTTAGGTATGAACTTAGTGTGCATAATAGCACATTCATCTAGACAACTAACACCCCCACATTTATACCTAATGATGGGTTTAACTGAATTTGGTCACATGTATAAAGAAATATGATTCAATCAATACCATTATTCAGAACTAAAAACGAACACTAAACTAAAAATCTAGAAACATAAGAAATTATTCACAAAGTAAACCAAAATTAACTAGGGGGTTCAGCCAACATGCATTTTCATGTCAAAATTCTGCTATTTCAAATGTGTTTAGGTATAGAAAAATTAGTCTCACACATTGATTACTAGAATGGTACTCCACAACAATATTAATAGGGGCACATGCAAGTGTGTGAACAATGATCTCTTTTATCAAAACGGAAGTAGGTTATGCAGAGACGAAGTTCGGGATATGATGAGTCAATTTCATATTATATACTTTACCCT